TTTGAATAATAGTCTGCGAAGCAGGACACTCTATGTCTGAATTGCCTTCTATAACTTTATCAGATGACAAAGGGTCTTGGGATCTAAGCTTCTTTTCGCGATTCCTTTCCTTTATTTCGTTCCTAATCTGTTCTTTATGCACTCGTTCCAGAAATTCGATCTTTTTATCTTTAAAAGATTTAGACTTTGCGCATATGGGTGATATCGTGCATTGAGGATTTGTCGGATTTGTCTCCTGGCATATATTTTCAGATAATTCTGAAAAAGCGTTATCAGATACATCAGAATTTGAAACGTTATTAGTAATATCAGATGGAGGAGTATTATCGCATCGTAAGTCTATCTGTTTATAAGTATTATTCGAATTTTTCGTTTTGGTAAAAACACTTACTGTCTCATTTTTGGCTGATGAGGAAATTGGTAATTGCTCTGGAGAATCGGTGGTTATTCCCTTTGATTTGATTTCCTCGAAATCACGTCTTAATTTTACTACTTCAGTTTTAAGCTCAGCATTCTCAAAAGCAGTATCTGCTCTACTATTCTCCAACTCCTCAATTCTGCTCTTAAACTCTACATCACGTCTAGAATTCTCTTCAATAATCTGCCTCAGATTCGCGTTTTCAACCTCAAATGCATTTTTTTCTTTTACTATCTGTTCCAATTCCAGCTTCAATGAATCTATTTCGGATAAGTACATAGATTCATCTCTTTGTGGTTGCATGCTTAATTTATATAACTTTATTAGAAATGTTCTGAAAAAGATTTTTACTACACACGTCTTGAAAAAATTTTTTTTTTTTGTTAACTCCTTTAATTTAAATAAAAATTATGTAACATCCTGACCAACGGTCAGGAACTCGCCGATCACTTTTCCAAGAAATATTTTTAAAAATTCTTGATCATATGCGAGTTAATATACATTGATAACAATAAACCAAATAAATAAATTTATGAAATACACATGCGAAAGTAAATATAAATTAGCCAATCCACACAAAAATTTATTACATATACTGTATTTAGGGAATATGTGGATACTTGTAAATTAGGATAAAAATGGCATTTACTACTAATAAGCACGAGCTCCACTATACAACCTACTATCCATAACTCAAACGTTTATTATCAAAAACACTACATAATTCAAACATAACCCGAATCTTCTGTCATTAACAAGCTTTTACTTATCCAAATCAAATAGCTAGTGATAAATTTAAAGTGGTTTAGCAGTCTTCATCCTGTTCTCGGTTACCTTCATTCAGTTAACTGTCTACAGTATAACTTGTATTATCCAATCAGAAGTATGTCAGTTTTGAAATCTTTTTTGCTAGTGAAACGTTATGTTCTCAAAAAGCATATTGATAGTTACCCGGTCAATTTGTTTACACTAGCCGATCAGACGAACTTCATTCCATGATCTCTCATTTTAAAGTTGTCGCTATTCGGAACAAGTTATACTATACAAGGTCATTATAATATTGATATGAGATCAAAAATTAGCAATGTTAATTGACCTGAGAAATAAATGCTTTAATATAACATTAAAAACCCATAAAATTGCCGGCTGATGCCAGACGCAATCAAATGGTTACCTTTACAAGCAAGGACGGTCACCGGCTGATGCCAGGCATGAACACGTTCTGCTTGTACTTCTACCACAGCTGTCGGCTGATGCCAGGCACAGTGTGATAGGGTTGTAAAGAGAGATTTCACAGGCTAAGTGCCTGTGTGATTATCTCAACTTAACACTTCTACAAACAACCACCGGCTGATGCCAGACGCAGTAGTCGTAGGTCGGAAAACCTAAAAATGTTGAGGTAAAGAAATGCTATCAACGGTTAATTTCCTTGAACTTGTTATCGTGCAAACTCTGATTTTTTTCTTGTTATTTTTTGTGTAAACAACTAACTCGCACAACATCGATATTGGTGATAAATATCTTATAATTACACACTGATCGTTACTGATAAGAAAAATGTGATTTTCACGTTATGCCTTTGATTAGTCTTTGATTGGCGTCGAAATTTGATTGGAATAGCTTCGCGCCAGACAGACGCGAATTTTTTTTCTTCAGTTGGTTTTGATGGATGACATATTCAAAGAACCTCGCTTAAAGAGCTCAAAGCTTTTTGACTACAAATGTTCAAATATTTTAGGCATACACAAATTTTTCACCGAAGAGTCAGCTTCCAAATGGTGTCTAGAAACTTTTGTGAACAGGCTAATATGTGAAGAGACGGAACTAAGTTTCGAACAAGTCCAAGAGCTTTTTTTTGGCCAATTTGGACCAAATTAATAACCAGATGAACGTTTGCAATCCTATTCGTGCATTTTGTTCAAGTTATATTGATTGGATGCAGGTAACTATCCAGTTCTATTGATTCATAATATTACGAAGCAATATAATCCAAGGCTAATCCTAGCATCTATCAAAGACGTGGAAGGGGCAGGCCGTTTCGAACGCATGTAAGGAGTATTTTCAGGAATGCGCAACATTAAAAACCAATCTGAAACATAAGCGTAAACATAAAGAAATTGCTGAGGTGTGTATTAATTATTTTTTGGCGTTTTTTCTGAAAGCAATTTGAATGTCGATTGGAATGTTTGTGCTTTTTATTAGGACTTCGTTTCAGAAAATGCAAAATATATGGTATTTCAAAGTATCTTTCAGGGACCTCAAAGAGGAATACGAGCTCAGACGCCTCCACCCCCGCCACCACGATCCCAGACACCAATAACACCAAATAAAAGGATGATAGAACATGAAAAAGTAAAACAGTGAGTTCAAGCTAAATATCATATTTACCTCTTTATGATCCATTTTAACAATGTTATCTTTAGGTACGTTGAGTCAATCCAGATTATATGCGCATTTGGCACAAATGCATTAGAACTGGAAAATTTGGTAGAAAAAGATTTGGCTGACGAGATATCCTCATATCGAAATTGAATACCTTCAGTCTGGACAGAGGGTTTAGAGAAATACTTCGATAATGCATTAGATGTGAGTTTTTATATAAATTGACCAATGATTTGTTGCCAAACTTACATCTGTAATATCTACAGAAAACGGGAAAAAATTTCAAGTTAGCGATCCAAGAAGAAATAGAAGGAGAGGAAGAAAACGTGAATAAGTTTAGATTATATTGTGAAAAGGTGTTAATGGAATTGTAAGTATTAAACTGTTATTGAATATATAAAAAATTTACATAATGAATTTATTTTGATATTCTTTAAAAGCTTCAATTTAGTTGATGTTTTCCCAACGCTTTCGAGAACGATCAAAGAGCGAAAATTCACTATATATCATATTTCCCCATTGTTCATGTTTTACGAATCCACTTTCGGAACCTTAGAATTCGATTGGATTGAAACACATGTGCGATCAGCAAAGATAGTAAAAACACCAACTGATTCCGGAATCGTACTGGTGGATGTAAAGGGTATATGTTAAGCTTAGTAGCCGTGAGTATTATTGTAACTAATTTTTAATACAAATATTGAAAGGGGTTCGTGTCAGCGATGGCAAAGAAATCTGGCATATGGAAGTCTCGGGACCACCAAGTAATCCTACAACTCGTCATACTGTTTACGATACCAAAAAGACGCTACACACTGACATATTGAATTTGGTAGACATCTTGAGAAACTACCTTGACCTAGATGTAAATATAGCAAAAAAAATTAAAGTTTTTAGCATGCAGGTTATTGGTAAGGTTTTTGTTGCTTTGCTTTATATAAGATCAAATGATAATTATATTCATACTTTCTTTTTACCATTTATCATTTTTAGCATATCGGCTAACATTGTATGCCCTTAGCATGCTGGAAGATGGCCAATTTGTTGCGTATGAGTTAGCATCAGCGGAATTGCCATTTGATTTTGATTCACGGTCAAAGTATATGGCAGTTATGCGGATGATGGCCATTTTTCATGTAAGTGAATAGTGTAGATATATTTCATAATTATTTCTATTTCCTGACATTTCTTTTTTTTGTTGGCATAGGACGAAGTAGTCCAGCAAAAAGCTATTATGGACAAAATTGATCGTATTCTCATACCTTGTAAAGGCAAGAGTGTTCGTAACGTTTTGAGGATTCCAGAAAATTTGCGAGATATATGAGCTTGTGAATTTATTCTATGTTATAGTATGTCACAGAATAAACATATCTTGTGTGTTTTTACATAATGCATTCAATAGAATTATATAGGCCTGATGGTGTATATTATTGAAAATACATAATCAAATATGTATAATTTTGACAGGGCGCAGGATCGATTTTACTGTCACGTGATTCTCGGAAAACAAATGTTGTTAATTTAAAAACTTCT